TTCGCCTAAAAATCAAATTGTTCATTATCAAATTACAAAATTTCAATATCTTGTTAATTTTGAATTATGTAAATTACTCAATGCAACATTTTGCGGTATGATAGCAAAAGTATAATTCAGCATAATATACTACTGATTTAAAACAAAAAATAAAATAAATGAAACTGATTAATTGTCATTACGATTGCCATAACATGTTTTTGTAAGCATCAAATCAGTATTTTAAAAAAATGACATAAGCTTTCCGCAGTCCGCTATATAATCGATTGCGGAATGATGGTGGTGTATTTGATTGAGTGATAGTTTCCGGTACGAGATGATATTCAGGGCATTATTCAGGATACGCTTCAGAATCATGATTTGCATTTTATCCATTACCAAATTTGTTAATTTGAATGCCATAGATGAAACAGAAATTTCCGCCAATTAATGCATGCTTGAATTATTAATTTTGAATGCGGAAAAATTACTTTATGGTAGTTTTAGGAGCTAAAACTAAACATCGAACTGTTCAAAAAAAAAAAAAAAACTAAAATTGCTTCAAATATTTGCATATTTTGTTTTCGTTAATTAATTAATTAATTCAGCTTTACTTATGTGATCAGTTTATTTATGCATTTAGTTCTAACAAATATTCCATTTCATAAAAGTGAAATTCTGCTAATTCTTGAATGAAACAAACTCTGTGAAAGAAATTAATCTGAAATAAATATCAGTAATTGTTATTAAATGAAATTTTAAATATTAGTAAATTCGATTAGACATTATAAAAGAAATTTTCCATTTTCTAATCATTATTATTATTAAAATTTTAAACTTGAAATTTAAATGAAAAATATGGCGCAGTAATTGTGAGGATGAATAACAAAAACGGAAAGTAATTTCACATGCTTGCCGGAATTGCAAATTCCGGTATAGAAAATGCGACAGATTTTTACATTGAAAATTAACGCATACATTTTAGTTTCATACATTTCATCTTTAAGTATTTTTATTGATTTAGAATGACCTTCAAATTCTGAACAATAAGTTTAATTAGTCGTAATTTTGAATTCCTAAATTAAATTAAAGTTTAACGAATTTTCCCTTTTACTTAAAGTTTTTTTTCCAGTCATGATTTTTAAATTACAACACTTTTTTAGAATGAATGACACAAGGACAGATATCGAATGATTGTATGGTGACAGGAAATGGCATGAACAACCGGTTATTTGCGTCATTCTTTGCCACCGATTTCAAAAATTATCCAGTATTTCTTTTTTTCCATCATCAAATAAAGTGCTAAAATTTTTAACAGTCATTTTGAAATGTCATAGCATTATCGCAAGCTGAATACTTTAAAAATAATTTTTTAAAATAAAATTAAAAAGAATTGAAAAAAATTTAATTTAAAAAGCAACTGATAAAAAATTTTAAAAAGAGTTAAAATTTAAATTTAAATTTTTGAAAAAATGACGGACAAATATGAGGCAGAAAAATTGACCTATGTAGTATTATAAAATAAATTAATTAATGAAGGAAATTTCGATTCATTTTGAATTTGAACTTGAAATGGATTCCGTCAATGATGTCATTTCAGTTCACAATGTATTCTAATTGTCACCATGTGAAATCGTCTTTGTGAGATTTCAACGTAATACATTGACGTGTAACTTTTGATCGATTAATTTGAAAAAAAAAAAGAAATTTGCATTGTTATTGTATGAAAATTATTAATTAATAAACTGAGTGAGAAGAATGAGAGAAAAAGGCCAAATGGACAGAAAAGATTTCTATTGGTATGGCCATAAATTAAAATTGTCAAATGCTTGGCTTAAATTGTTTAGTTAACAAAATTTCATGCTAATTTTTAACCATTTCAATCTTCCTTTTTTTTTTGAATGAATTTAATTATTAAACTAATCATAAATTATTATTTTAGGAAGAAACTGAATGAAATATTGAAAAGATGCATGAAAGGAAGCTTAAAGAAGTTAAATGTCACATAGCTATGATAATAGCATGACCAGGGACATTTTTAAATTATATGACTTATCTGTCCACTTATTCAATCGTATTCTGCTCCTCTTTCCGGACATACATCATTCATTTGACGCAATAAAGAAGTTTTTTTTTTATTCAAAAAACATGTAATCTCTTTTGTCATCGATATGGTGACATTTCGAAACTTTCCCTCTCTTTTTTTTCTCGCTGAAATTTATACATAAATAAATTATTGCTTCGAGTGCATTGCACATCGTAGCGACAATTTTCAAAAAAAAAAACTTCCAGAAGTTTTTGAAAAAAAAAAGCAGTTTCATTTCTATAAGAAGCTTTTGATTTTCATTAGTAATTGATAGTTGGCATAATATTTAGGGAATTATAGGTAATTCAACGAGTGATTGTTGGAAGAAATAGGTAATTCAAGGATTCAACTTATTGTAAATTATAATTTTTTACAAGCACAAATAGCTAATTTGAAATGGAATGAAATTTTTAAAAAATTAAAATTTCTAACTTATCTGAAATAAAATATTTCAATGGATAAATAAGTGAAATAAATTTGAAATTTTATTGATTAATTATTAGATGGTAAATTGTAATGTATGAAAATACGCACATTTCAAAACTTTATTGGAAATGAAATTTTTGTTGTATTTTAATAAAAATTGAAATCGACCAATATAAATAAATTTTTGATGAAATATTCATTGGTCCAAATAAACGATCCATCATAGAAATTTTAGTATCACGTGACAATAAGCAAAAAATAAAAAAATCATTTAAAAAATAAAAAAATCATTAAAAAAATAAGAAATCATTAAAAATTCAAGAAAATAAGAAATCATTTAAAAAGAAAAAAATATAAAAAAATAAGAAATCATTTAAAAAGAAAAAATTTAAAAGATAAGAAATCATTTAAAAAGAAAAAATAATAAAAAATAAGAAATCATTTAAAAGAAAATAATCATTTAAAAAATAAGAAATCGTTTAAAAAGTAGTAAATCATTTTAAAAATATAAATAATTCGATGATTCAATGATTTCAATATTTTCGAGCTTCCATTTTATTTCAATCGCTTTTCCGAATTGTTTCTTTTGTTTTTCGACCTGAAAAAACTAAAAGAAAGAACTTGGAATGCTAATGACTCATCCGTCGTTGTCTCATCGTTAGGTTTT